AATAATTGCAATTAATTGAAATTAATTGAAATTTTATTTTATTATATATAAATTAATATATATACATATTCTTTTTTGTCATGTATTTGTTACATGCCCCTCTCTACATATGACCATTGTGATCAACCTAACTATATACAGTATATACTATAATTGTATATATATGTACAAACCTATTGTCGAATCTGGTAAATATCCTAAATCGACCACAGTTTGTCATTTAATCTTAATATTAAAAGATTTTCTAAAGTAAATGGATCAAGTGACTTTTGCCAGTCTGTATAATAATATTTAACAAGTGAAAACAAACATTTTGCTGAATTAGAAGTAGGAGGGATTATATTCATATCCATATACTTCGATTCTTCTAGCTTGCATTTTTTTGCAACCCGTTCTTTCATAGTTAAACTATCTTCTACTACAATTTGTTTTATATTTGGTTTAATGATAAATGGTTGAAGTTTTTGTTTTTCATCTGGTGTTAGTATGGCTTCTTGCTTACTTAAAACTTTGATTACAGCTTCTTCAAAAATGGGATCATAGATTATCGATGCATCTTTTCCTAATCAGTTTTCTAAACCTGGGGATTCTTTTATCAACAAATCGAAATAAGCACGAACATCATCTAATTTCATAGATTCGTTTTGCAAATCATTTGTTGCTTCAGAAAAGTATTTGAGTTGTTCAATAAAATTATTAACTTTACCAAGATCCAACTGCTTCACCAATAAAATATCATAACCTGAAAATCTGTTCACTTGAGTAATATAAGGAATAAGAACTTTACATCATTCGATCATTTTCATGACGCTCATCCAACGAGTTGTATTGTCCAATATCAGTTTCAAGGATATTACTTTTGCAAGTTTTTCACGATTTTTATAAGTTCGCATCATTAATACAATTATACGAATTTGACATACAAGAGTTGATGAGGTATTAATAAGATCATTGACTGCCAAATTTAGACGATGCGATACACATCCTACAAGTGGAATATTCAAATCGTTGGCTATTTTTTTATTTGTACTGCAGTTATCTCTTGAGAAAAAAAAAATATTATTAACACCCTTATCATATGAGTCTAAAACATCTTTAAAGAACTCAATATGCGCATTTGCATCCTATATAGTACGATCTTCAAATGGCGAAAATGCCAATAAAACTAGATTTCTAGATTTATTAGTTGTTTGGTAAATACCAAATAGCCCAACAAAATGAATGCCATTGTTTGTCCATTCGTCAAACATGATCCTGATTTTTTCTGGCAAAATATTTTTTACTCTATTTCGTATGATATCTGCCAACCCATCAATATATTTAACAACCGTAGCAACATCCAATTTGGAAAGACTTGTATGTGAAGCAAAATTAGGATTTTCACAAGCATTAAGAGGTAGTTGGCACTTTACAATAAGACTAACCCAGTTATAAATATTAAACACACTTGTACTATAGTTAACTATACTAGAATCTGATGTAGAAAAGGTAACATTTCCAATACGCTCTTGGTAAATTGATTTAAAATCATTATGCTTCACCTCTAAATGATTCATTAAATTCGTGTAACCCGTTTCTCTTTTTTGGGTTAACGGATGTGATCCGGGAGGGCATAGATTGCACTGATACTTGTTGTCATTTGCAGGTTTAAAAAACATTTCTATGTAGCACTTGTTCGAAATTTTTAAGCTCATTGAAAATAATTTAAAAGTAAAGAGGTTTAAAGTTTTATTTTAAAAAAAAAGAATCGATTGATTTATGCAATTTTATTATTTTTTAAACTACGTATAATTTTGACGTCAATATTAATTATTACTTCAGTCATGATTATTCGCAAATCGCAATAAAAATTGCAATTAATTAACAGTTAGTGGCTGCGCCACAAATCAATTAATTGAGACCAAATAATTGTAATTAATTTTCTTTCCAATAAACTTTTCGGCAGGCCTGATCCTGTTAATGAATTTCAAACACCAGGTTATATTGTACGAGCATTTCCAACTTTTTATCCATATGGTAATGCAGATCTTTGATCAGAACGTATTAAAGAAGTTAAACTAGCTAAATATTTTAAATACTTACTTTTGTACAAAGACAAAAGATTCACATACTATACTCGTTGGTGATACTTTGCACTGAACTCTCAAATACGTTGGAGAGCTTTACAAGAGAAAAGCGTGTTTGTTAGACAAAATTTGAGTGATGGGTTGCTTACAGTAGAAGAGATACAAAACAGAATTGCTGAAGGTAATAGAAATATATCTAATAGAATCATACGATATGAGAAAAGCTTACGTAGGTCATAACAATTTTGGATGATATGGTGTTGTAAATATCTGATATGATCAAGCAGATAGGTTCTCAAGTGCTAATATTTTTTATATTTAGTGCTGCTGATCTACATTAGCCAAAGCTCTATGAGCTCATATGATTAAGTGAAAACTATAGAGAAGAAAATGATTCTGTGGAACAATGAAGCAAGAACATTATTGATAACCCTCATATCATAAGTTGGTTTTTCAACAAGCGATTTAAAATTTTTTTTGAAGACGTGTTGAAACTATTGTAGGATTTAGAAAATTGGTGATACAAATTTGAATAGCAGTATCATGGTAGTGTTCATGTGCATGGAATAGGAAAAAAAAGAAATACGCCCATAATCGAATAGAAGCACATGAAGGAAGATAAGAACATAATGAAAAATGTTGTAGAATACCTAAATAACTTGGTTACTATAATCAACCCAGGACTTAATGCAGCTGTACCAGACTATCATCTATGTCAAAAACATCACGATGAGATAAATAATGATTTGCAAGATTATATCGACCTTATTAATAAATTACAATGACACACACGATGTAGCCCTTCGTATTGCCTTCGGATCAATAAAGCTAGTCAACAATTTTGTAGATATGGATATCTTAAGAAAAATTGTGAAAAGACTTATATTCGAGAAGATAGTTGAGGTTAGGCAGAGCTTGTAACTGAAAGAAATGATCTATTTATTAATCCACATTGCAGAATTCAACTGCAAGGTTGGAGAGCAAATGTGGATTTAAAACTAGTACTTAGTCTTCATGTGGCTTTACAATACATATCCAAGTATGCAAGTAAAGCAGAGCCACGGTTTATAGCATTTTCAGAGATATTAAATCAAATACTTTGTGATAGTAAACCTGATGATTCATCACTTGATACAATTCAGAGATTACTACTGCATAGCATTGCAGAGCGAGATATCTCAGCACAAGAAACTTGTTATATTCACCTTGAGATTCTACTTTATCATTCAAGCCGTTCTTTTATTTCTTTGAATCTCAATATAAAAACGCCTAGATGGCTTCGTGGGACTAGTAACAATATGATTAATGATACTAAATTAACTTCACATTTGTCATTATAAATATATCATAAGCGACCTAGTGAGTTTGAAAAATTTTCACTATATAAGCTTTATTTAACTCATAAATTTGTGAATAATTGGTAGAAGATAAGCGAAAGTGAAAATATCGTATACATTTGGCCACAGCTATTGTTCCTGTACAATGGTCCTCAATAGGAGGAATTTTGTAAAATAAAAGTTATTCTTCATATTTGTCACCACGATCTTGATCAATTAACAGAAAATTGTACCATTTTATGAGCAAACTTATATGAGCGGTATCTTGAGGAAATTAACAATAACCTAGTAGATTTACTTGGTTCTCTTATAGAAAATGACGAAGTTAATTTAATTGAGAAAGAGGATGAAGGTAAACAGATTGAAAATAATAAACAGGAAGGGCTACATCATGAATAGATACTTTTAGCAGAAATGGACCCTAATGCAAATATAGTAAATTCATCAGAACTGAGATCTCATATAATAGATATAAATTACGATTGGTGTAGTAAAACTATGAAATGCTACTCAGATTCTGAAATTAGAAATGCAGGAACTTTTGTGCAACTGGCATCTAATAGCATTATATTAGAAGAAAATGCAACAGATACTATTGATTTTCAGACATTAAATACAAATCAAAATGCAGCATTTAACAGAATAGAGGCATATTACTGGAGTATACTTGAAGGTCATCAGACAGAGCCGTTAAGAATTATTATAATAGAAACCACAGAAATAGGAAAATCCTATTTTATAAAAGCAATTCGATGCCTACTTCATATGATGGTAGTGAATAGATCTCAAGCACCTATCTTAGTACTTGCCCCAACAAGTGTTGCTGCTTTTAATATTAGTAGATAACACTCCATTCATCACTCTCCCTTCCAATATTATCAAAAAGTAACTTAGATATAAATGGTGAGAGGCTAAATCAAGCATTTTCAAAACATAATAATGAACCATTTGGTGGATGTTCTATTATTATATTTGGCGATTTCGGTCAACTCCTACTAGTATTTGACCTTCCAATATATGCAAATAATAGTTTGCAAGACCAAATTTCGAGCAATAGCCTTAAAGCATATAAATATTTCAGAGAAGTTTACATACTTAATGTTATTGAATATCAATCTGGTGAATCAGAAGAGCAGCAAAATTTTAGAAATATTCTCATGAGATTATATAATAAAAAATTTATTTTAAGTAATTGGGAAAAACTTACAGTCCAACTTGAAGACAAGTTTAATAGAGCTGAACACAATCAATTTTCAGAAGCCATACATATTCTACAAAAGTGGTCTGATGTTGATAAGATTAATATAGAAAAGCTAATATCTTTGAATAGTTTCATTGCAAAAATTATAGCAACACATACCAGTATTGGCGCAAAAAATGCAGATTCTGATGTAGTAATGGGTCTTGAACCACAATTATTATTGGCTAAAGGTGTATGCATTATGCTAACTGCAAATATATAGACAGAAGCCGGGTTAGTTAATGATATACTAGGAACTGTTCAAGATATTTTATTTAATAGTTATGGTCCACCTTCAGTACCCGTAGTGGTTTTGATTACCTTTGAGCATTATAAAAAACCCACTATCACCACTTTGGAAGACAAAGAAGTTGTACCAATTGTGCCAATCTGACGTACATGGGAAGAGAAATTTGGAATATGCTCACATCTTCAAGTCTCAATTTGTCTTGCATAGGCAATCACTATACACAAAAGCCAGGAACTCACACTACCAAAGGCTATAATAGATTTTGGAAGCAAAGAGTTCGTAGCTGGCCTTTCATTTGCAGCTATATTATGAGTACAAGCTCTCAAGGATATTATGTTCAAGACGTTTATATTTGAAAAGCTTCAAAGAATTAAGAATTGCAAAAAGATACAAGAAAGGAAAGACGAAGAAGAATGATTATTCTCAATAGCTAGAGAAAATGGTAACAGATATAATAGTGGTTAGCTGTGAAAGGGTTAAAAATTTTTGATAAAGTTGTTTAAAATTGTAAAAAAAGAAATTCCCTTTATTACAAACTTCTATAATTAATAGATCAAAGAAAAGTAGGTAAGAAAAATTGAATATATGTCTTAATAGATTAAGTTAATGAATACCGTAAATAAAAGTAATAATCACAATATACAGTCAGATACATTAAAAAAAATAGAAATCGTTTTGAGGTCATTTTATTTAATTTTAAATTAGCTTAAAGCCACATTTTTCGATTATATCTTGTGGCTTTTTGCTATATATGTTTGTGAAAAAAATTATATAAACAAAAAGTGAAAAGTTCATAGTTTCACAATCTGTAGTGATCTTTTCTAGATCTACACTTTGTGAAAAAGTGTATAAGACTCGAAAAAGAATATGCTTTACTATTCAAAAATTTACAACTTGATTAGCTTATTAATATATAACGCAGTTTCTGAGATATAATGTAGCTTCTGATATATAACTCAGCTTTTAATTTGTGTAATCGAATGAAAAAAAATCATACGATCTGCATTTCTATACTATAAAAGGGGTGATCTATAGTGCCCATTTTTTGGTAACGTGCCTGACTGATATATATATATTGATGTTTGTTATACAAATATACAAGTGGCGACAAATGGAAATTACAAAGTTATAGTTTTGATATTTTTACTAAAAATGCATCAAAACCGGAAATTTTATATCACCTTGTATAGAAATTGAGAGTCTTCCGCTATGCTCTGAACAATAACCTTAACAATATATATAATACTAATGAAATAGATTTATTTTACAGACTACTTCCTAATTTGCTAAAAAGCTAATGACTAGAAAAAGATGGTAAGTTCATTATTAGGTTAAAAAAAAAAAAAAAGCAAAAGCAATTTAACAAACTAATAGTTTATTAATTTTAGAACAAAGTAAAATTAACTATATTACTTTGTTTCAACTTAACTGGTTCTTATAAGCTTTGTCTACTAGTTATTGGTACTTCTAAAAAGCTATAATCTTTTAAAAATATAAATATATCACAATTACTAGTAACATATTAAAATAATAAAAAAGCCTGAATAAGAAGCAATATTTGGGAAAAATAGTTAAAGAGATCAATAATTGTTTTCGTATCCAAGATAGACAGATTTTACTTCTTATCGATAATGCAGCTTTCTATATATTTATGATACAAATAACACAAATAGTATAAATAAAATACAAGATAATGCTAAACAGTTACTTAAAGATGAATTTACTGATAAAGCTAAAGAACTTCAAAATGAGTTACAAGAAAAGCTATAAGGAAGGCTACAAAAAAGACTACAAAGAAGGCTATAAAGAAAACTATGAGAAAGACTATGAGGAAAGCTACAAGAAGGATCTCAAAAAGCATATTCTGATCAGTTAAGACAAGCTTCAGATCATTTTTATTTTACAAATATTATTTTATACTATTTTCTACCAAATATGATAGCTTATTTCTAGTCCATGAATGCTAGTATTATTTATAGCTTTAAATTTAAATACAAAAAACTGTTTTGTCATTATTTGCTTTTATGATTTGAAAAAAATAAAAATCAAAAATAAAATTGCTACAGTTAATACTAAAATTTGAATCTATTTTAATATAAAATTTTAAAAAAAATTTGGATGTTTTTTAATTTTTCCTTTAGAGTTGGGCTTATAGTAAAAGAGAATATAGTCAACTCTTCCAAATCTCTTAATAAACTTTGTAAAAATCGAACACAAAGCTTCAGAACATTTGTAATTTTATTATAAAGTTTGAATTAGTAGTATAGTAATTCTTTGAAAATCAAATTTTTTGATATTTTTATATATAAGAACAAACTATTAGAAATAAAGAGAGTTGACTATTTATGAACTTTAGTAGAGTTATATTTCAAATAAAGATTTCAAATTCAGTATAAGCTAAGACAAATACTTTTTATATTTACTTTTTTTATTTTTTTTTTATATTAACCATTTATATAATACAAAAAATTTAGCTTAAAAAAAGCTATTAATTTTATCACCAAAGTATGAAATAAAATTAGTAATATAACTATTAAAAATTAGTAAAAAACTATTAGGATTATACTTGAGATAAATAAGCTAGAGATAAATAAGCCAGAAATAAGTGAACAAAAAAATAAATCAGAAAATAGGATTTCTGAGACAAATAATATTGCCAAGCTAATTAATGATCTTTCATCTGAGACTAACTTGGCAGCTCAAGAATTAATTCGTAATATTGAAGAGTATACTTATACAATTGACTAAACAGCTACAACTGAGAATATATTAATGGATTAAAGTATTGTCAAAATGGTAATGAATAAGTTCTATAATGATAATAATAAATTGACAATAATAAAGAATTTTCTTTTCTTTCTTTAATAACTATTACAGATGCTATTAAAGTATTAAAAAAAGTTATAGATTATCAAGAGAGTCTTGAATCTGAAAAAATATTTGATGAGAAGAGTCTAACGATATTGTGAAAAAGTTTTAAAAAATAGTGATATAAAAAAAAAATCAAAAAAAGCAATTTTCGCTTTATCATATTTTAATTGTAATGAGTGCTAAAGCTAGTAGTATCATACTTACATACAATTTAAATAAGTTTTTTTTTACAATTCAATTGCTAGTTATATAAATATTATGATAGTATTTTTTATATAATTTTTTTTTTTAAGAAAATTAAATAAAGCATCAATATATTTAGTATATCCTATATTTACTGTTATCAGGCTAAGTTTAGAGTTAGTGAAAGAATGATTTATATTAAAATCTTTATAATGAGTTTTTTGAATAAAATTCAGCCTACAATCAATTTTTTTTAAAAAAAAATTTTAACTTTTTTTTGTATTTTTTTTTTTTTTGCAAAAATTTATTTTAAAGTTTAATGCATTATTATTCTAAA